AAACATTATTTTTATTATTTATTGCTACTTATTATTATTTTTATTGTTATTATTCATTATTATTATTGTTGTTATTTATTATGATTATACAAGATTGGGTATAATTTGGTAACTTGGTTCCTTGGACGTTTGGAACCCAAACAGGCAAAGGAAAGGGGGAGGGGGAAGGCGAGGCTTACGTTCTGCTTTCCCCTCTCCCTCGGGTAAACCTATGGGAAAGTTCAAACCCTATGAGGTGGTGAAACCAACCTGGAATGAGGCATTCAATTCTTCAACAATACGATCGACATTCTTATCCAACTGAACGGTTTCACAGTCGACATTCGCCGCCGCGGTGTTCAAACTCGCGACACATTGCTTCGCCTTGAATACGACAATCTCGGAGAGTCTTTTAATGGCCACGGAGAAGGGGACGACCGTGTGTTCGGCACAGGAACGTCTGAAGAAAGTTGTAATGAATTGGAGGGGTAATTTGGGTGATACGATTCATTTTGGTGAACGAGAGGTTCGATTTGGTAGCCGGAAGACCCGTTGGAAGGTTCGGTTTGGTACCGTAGAGGTTTATTTTGGTGTCTTGGAGCGGAAAAATGTGGAGGTCAGTCAGCAACAGGAACAGAAGCAACTGGAAAGTGACAATTGGATTAAGCGAAGGCTTTTGGGATTATGAAAATGGCATTCGGCCAATCGATAGGCTCTGGATTTTATGATTGCTTGATATAAAGGCGATGTTTGCGTTGATATAGCTCGAGAAAATGTGTGAGCTTGAGTTGCGATGGGCATTTCGGTCCCACCGTCATTCGTGGACGAGAATAACGGTACGGGAACCAGTGTTGTGGAAGCCTGATATTGTGGTACTTTTCAAGGGGATGGGGTTAATGAGGGTTGAATGGTGCGGGTGAAATAAACCTACGTTTTGGGTGAATCACACAGTTCACAGAAGACCAGATCGCATGATTCACAGTAGAGCAGTTGCTCTTGTTGGTGTACAGAGCAGTTGGGCACGACGTCTCGACGCTGGCGTTGCATAAGATCCAGCAACTGATTGTGAAGGAACGAGGACGGGAAGGCGGCAACACCTCCCGACGGCGGTATCTGAGCCATCTCACGACACATCGGACATTTCAATAGACCACTTTCGACAGCCTGAAATTGCAGTTTTGTTGGATTTTTTGCGATTCCAATCTGTTGGGTACCACAACCTGAAATTGCCGTTGAATTTTGGATAAATGGAGAGATGGAATAAGGCTAATTGATGGCTAACCTGTTCGATTTGTGACATACGTTCCAAGCAACGCAAACAGACCGTATGTGAGCATGGTAGTAGCTTGGCTCGGCGTCGTTCCTGAAATTTTGAGTGGATTGGTGGATTGAAATGGAATCTGGAATCTGGAGAACTGGATGGGCTAAAATCCTGAATGATTAGGAGAAATGCGGATGAATTTTGGATTTATGTGATGATTGGATTATGGGAT